TTAAAGGCATGCCCCACCATACCCACACTCTAAATAAAATTTGTAAAGACAAAAGGAGGGTTAATGAACATCTCAATGTCAATAAATTATATAATCCAGATGAAATGGGAAAGCTCCAAGAAGGACACAAAATACCTAAGAAGGAAAAGGAAATCTGAAAAGACAAAGACATTGAGCTGATAACCAAAAACTTTCCAGGAAACAAAAAAGCAAGATGCAGATGGCCTCAATGCTGAAGTCTACCAAGCTTTTATGACTAAATTAACATACTCTACCAGAAAATACCAAAGGAAGGGACACTATCAGCAACTTGTTTAGTGAGGCCAACCCTGTCCTGACACCAAAGTAGAGGAGAACTGGGCAGGCCAGTGAGAAACCCAGAAAATCTCTGGTTAACAGCCAGTGCATATCCTTCATGAGCTTGGACACTAACACCCACAACAAGAGCTCCCTGAACTAAGCAAACTATGGATAACCACAGGGTATGAGCAAGGGAGGAGAGATCAGCTTCACATCTAAAATCCAATTACCACATGTGTGTGTGAATAAAAGACAAAAAGAACATCCGGATCCAAAAGCAAGAAGTAAAAGATGATTTCTGTTTTCAGGAGCCATGATCTTGCACACAAGAAACTGTAACAAAGTCATTGAACTAATAAATGAATTCTAAAGGTAAGCCACTTGAAATTCTACAAATAATCAGACAGACAGAAAGAAATACACAAACACATGTGTGACACATAGTTGGGATGGCTCCCACAGACATGCAAATGCCTTTGTTTACTATAGAATGCAACATACTTTAACCCAGAAAGATTATCTTGGCCAGGCGTTGGTGGTGCACGCCTTTAATCCCGCACTCAGGAGGCAGAGGCAGGCGGATCTCTGTCAGTTCGACGCCAGCCTGGTCTACAGAGTGAGCTCCAGGACAGACTCCAAAACTACAGAGAAACCCTGACTCAAAGAAACCAAAAAGAAAAAAAAAATCTTAAATGAGCCAAGAAATCAAGAGACCTCTTCTCCTGTTCAATCTAGTTAATGAATCTTCTCTGACATGTACCCAGCAAAGATGATTCTCAAACCAGTAAAAAGCCTCAGTGTGGACTTTGGCAAGCCTCTGCCATCCTCCAAGCAGATGTCAGCATATCACAGACATTGCCACATGATCTGTTCCCTGTGTGGTTAACAACAGACAGCCCTGTCAAGGCTGTAGTGAGACCCAGCCTTCAGAACACCTTGTTCTCACTCCACCACTCCAGGACAAAACAGCACTGTGTCAATCCAGGATTTCTCTAGCCATGTCTGACTTGTACCTAGAACATAGAAAGAACTGTGGCAACTCAATAATTAACAGACAGATGAGAGCAGCCCTTCCTCAGAGCAAATACACCAGTGATGAGTATACTTGGAAAAGGTGCTCATTAACTGTAAGGGAAACAGCAGTGCACCAAGGTGACAACTGCTGCGGCAGAAACAGAGGGACAAGCTCACATTCATGGCTGCTGGGACTGTCCCATGGTGTGGCAGCTTTGGAGAAGTATCTGTACACATAAGAGACTTTAAACAAGGTACACACAAAAATTCCCACAAAGCTCACAGCAGCAATGTTCCTAGGAGCCAAATAGTAACTTCATGCAAGGGTGCAGGAGCTGACAGACTAGAGGAACAAAATGTGGCATGTTGACAGGCCAGGATAACATGCTGAAGTGATGTAAAGTCCTGAGCTGTGTTACAAGGATGGACCTTAAAAAACTTAAAAGTTAAAGAAGCCAATTCCAAAGGACGGAGTTTATGAAATGCAAGATGGACACAGTAGGCCACCCTGGAGTGGGAAAGTAAATTACTGCTGCAAGAGCCCAGAAGAGGCTGGGGAAACAGAAAGGAATGGCAGTTATGACTACAGAGGGTGTGGAGCTTGTTAAGGAGATGAAAGTCCTACAATGGCCTGCTGTGCTTGGTTGTAGACTCATTTTGAAGCTATTTTTAAAAATAAAACAGCATTCTCAACTGAGTGCAAATTGCTAGTTTTTGTCATTGGAAGAAGACACTAACCTTGGCCCTAAAATGGGAAAAGCAGGAGAACAGAATGAAATTAGCCAAAGGAGTTTGGCTTGAAGGAGGTACTTATTGTATGTGCACACCATGTCCAGAGCAAGAAAGGAGTTTGAGAAAAGAATCGTTGCATTTAAGGTGTAGTGCAAGAGCCCAGAAGTCTGTCTGCTGCACGTGACCAAGGAGGCCTCTATTCCTAATTAGCAGTGAAACAAGCACCCAGAGCCAAAGGAAGCACCCAGAGCCATGGGACAATCAAATGTAAGTACAAGTGGCAGACTTTCTGATGGCTCTGTGAGAGGCTTTTCTGTGGTGCTGAACAAAGGCATCACCCCTGAGAAGGTCTCAGGGGCACTGGTAATAACTGTTTTGTTATATATAATGTTACTGTTAAAGCTAAAACCTTCCTTTTTATTTAGACAGAAAAGAGGAGATGATGGGGAATGTCCTTCTGTATATATGTTTCTCTTATTGGTGATGAATAAAACACTGATTGGCCAGTAGCCAGGCAGGCAGTACAGGTGGGGCTACCAGATGAGGAGAATTCTTGGGAGGGGAGGCAAAGAGACACCATGTAGCTATCAGGAAGATAGGACGTTCCAGGCATTCTCTGGTAAGATAAGACCATACAGAAATACATAGATTAAAAGTTATGGGTTAATAATTAAGAGAGAGCTAGCCAGTAAGAAGCCTGAGCCATCAGCCAAACAGTTTATAATTAATATACGTCTCTGTGTGTTTATTTGGAGCAAAGCAGCTATGGGACCAGGTGGGACAGAAGTTCCATCTACACCCCCTCCTACCCAGAGCACTACCCCATGAGCTGCCAGGTCTGACCTGCAGGAGAGGGACAAGTAAAGCATGGCCAGGCTCTGTCTGGTCTAACAGCTCCTACCAGAGACCTAAAGGTACAAGCTGTAGGCTGGGGTCTGGTGAGGTAAAAGCTGGGTATAAGTATAAGAAGAGCCTCAGTTCCCTCCTGCCTATCTTATCCCCCTTGGAGAGTCCAGCCCATGCTGTCTACACTTAAAGTGGATGCAAAGATGCCCTCCAATGCCAGGGCCGACTGGCAGCTGCATCCTCTGTTGGTGACTTTCCTAACCACTGGTCCTGACATGGTCCTGAATGAAATGTGAAGAGTCGGTACAGTGGCAGCACACACCTTTAATCCCAGCACTCGGGAGGCAGAGGCAGGCGGATCTCTGTGAGTTCGAGGCTGGCTTGGTCTACAGAGTGAGTTCCAGAACAGATTCCAAAGCTATACAGAGAAACCTGGTCTCAAGAGAGAGAGAGTGAGAGAGAGAGAGATGTAAAGGGTCACTTGCTCATCCCCACAGCCTGCATCTGCTCCAAGCTCTGCAAACTCAGCTGCAGAAGCTATTCTCAACGTTTTCACAAATGACAAACACATTCTCCCCTACTTCAACTAAAGATTGACTTTCAGAAGTCATTTAAATATGTCCCCATCAACTTCTCCCACAAGTATGACTGGCACAATGAGATTCAGTACTTCATATCAGGCTCTACTAACCAGTCTTGGCTCAATAATATTAAAGCATTCAAAATCAATGTCAGTTTTGAGTTTGCTAGTTTGTTTTGTTTCAGTTGCATGCACGTATGGGTGTGTGCATGCAGATGCCAGCAGAGGCCAGAAGAGGATTTCAGATTCCCCAGAGCTGGAGTTACAGGCATCTGTGAGCCATGCAGCATGGTTGCTGGGAACCAAATTCAGCTCCTCTGCCAGAGCAGGAAGCACTGTTTAACCACTGAGGCATCTCTCCAGTCCCCAGGACTTTTGTTTGTTTGCTTGTTTGTTTTTGAGAGATGTCTTTTTGTCTTTGAGACAAGTTGTTGATACATAGTCGAAGCTGGCTCCTGCCTCAGCCTCCTGAGTGCTAATGAGATTACAGTGTATAGCACCGTGTCTGGCTTGTCAGCCTAACTCTCACAAGCACAGAAAGTCACTGGCTCCTGGCACAGGAAGCCCTGCCCTTGTGTTCATTTTCTTTAGAAATCAAACAAAAAGCTGCAAGCACCTGGGTCGTCTACACTCTCCACAAAGCACACTGAGAAACGTGGCCAGCGGTGTAGAGCAGGCCTTGAATCAGATGGTACAAGTAGGCAGGCATGAGGTGACTCCACTTCCAATCTAGACACACAGGAGATGAAAGCAGCCAGCTTGAGCCAGAAGCCCAAGGAAACAAGCCTGCCTGGTTTGTGTTCTTCGAAGGAAGACATCTGCTACTGCACTATTACCTACTTGGCCATCATTTCTAATTAAGCCAAAAATAATTGAAGTCATCACAAAATACTTAAGCACTGTAACAAAATAAGTTTCTGCTGGATTAATTACAGAAACTAAGAAGGGAAAGAAAGACCCAACAGTGTAAAAAAGGGAAAAAATGCCAGATTTCTTAACAACACATAGACATCCAGGCTTGATGTCTCTCATGTTAGGAGGCTGAAGCAGGAAGATTGCCACTAATTCAAGGCCAGCCTGGGCTACATAGCAAGAGCTGTTTGCTATCACCAATAATAATAATAATAATAATAGTCTATGAAAAAAAGTAATAGGAAATTCAAATCACTGTGGAAAGAAGCATATGCCATAGTCTCAGAGCAAAGTCATTATTACCATGAAGGGATTCAAACCAACAGCATAAGCATGCTCAGAGCATTCAAGGCACAATTCTCCAATCATTCACTTCACCATGCTAGGGAGATTTCTTCTCTTCACCAAACACATGAAGCAGTAGGATGCCCCATCAAACAAGGACCAAACAATAATCAGGTAATCAGGTTTGTCACAGTTCTTATTTAAAGTTATTTAAATCAGAACGTTCCAAAGATCACAATCCAGAAACCAGAACCATTCATTCACAACACCACGAAACAAGCACTTAAAAAAAAAAAAAATAACAACAACCAAAAGAAACTAAGCACAGAGATCATGTACCTGGGTCAATGAGAACTTCTTGCGCCCCTGGAAGAAAGAACAGATTACGGTCTTTTATTTGGAAAACAAAACCACTTTTAAAGACAACTAGTAGAACACATTTGACAGTTTGCATATGCACTGAGAAGCCTGAGATGTTTGCGTCTACCTTAACAGCAACTGTGAGCAACAGCATGGCAGGCACAGTACTCTTCCGCTTCCATGAGGAAAACAGAAAGTCTACTGTAAATCGTGACTTCAAAAAACAGGAAAGAGTCCCCTTACCTCTCCCCTTCCTCCTCTCTAAACTCAGGCTCGTCACTCTTCCCAAATGAGTGTCAGAAACTCTCATTTCACCAATAAATCAATAACAAAAGGAATTTTTTTTTTTTGCAAATAAGTATGAGCACTACAGACTGGGGCAAAAGTCTCAAAGGAAGTGTGATGATATAATAATACCCCCCCCAGATCATTCTGTCAATTAGATTTCTCTCTCTCTCTCTCTCTCTCTCTCACACACACACACACACACACACACACAGAGAGAGAGAGAGAGAGAGAGAGAGAGAGAGAGAGAGAGAGAGAGAGAGAGAGAGAGGAAAAATGAATTATGAATTTCAGGACACTTATCAAAGCTAAGTATTTGTGATGTTTAGTGGTAGTTCATGCTGAAGTTATAGCTCAGTTGGTGGAATGTATGTATGTACTTAGTATGCACCTAGTATGCACAAAGCCCTGGTTTCAATCCCCAGCACCACATGAACTGGGCACAGTGGCACACACCAGTAATTCCAGCAATTGGAAGAAGAGATGAAGGAGGCCAAGGTCATCCTTGGCCACATAGTAAGTTTAAGGCTAGGATGAATTACATGTGACCCTATCCCAAAGAAGCTGGTGGAGGCTGGAAATATGGCTCAGCAATTAAGTGTTGCTCTTGCACAGGACCCAGATTTAGGTCTAGGCACTCACACTGTGCAGCTGCTTGTAACTCCAGCTCTAGGGGATCCAATGCCCTCTTCTGGTCTCTGTGAGCACTTTCATACACATGCTGCGCACACATACACCATGCACATGCTACACACACACACACACACACACAGAGAGAGAGAGAGAGAGAGAGAGAGAGAGAGAGAGAGAGAGAGAGAGAAATAATTCTTCTTTAAAGGGTGAAGAGGAGGAAAGGGAGGAGAAGAAACTTTGTGGTGAGCTTACACATGAAGCAGTTAGCTCCACTATTCTCAATAAGCTGGGAAAGCCTTCCTCATCTGCTAAACTATCCAGTTGTCAGTGAGGCCCAAGCAGTACACCCCATGAGCTTGGTCCAAGACTCAAACTCATCATTAGCTGTTGCCATTTTTAAACAGTTTAATAAGATTCAAAAAGGTTGATCCCAACGCCCTGTGTTCTTATGCAACAGCTCATTTGTTCAATTGTCTGTGTAAAGAACAAAGCCTGTGATTATGATGCCAGTTGACAGCTATGCTGTATAATATAGTGGGCGGGCACGTGCACACGCGCTGCACCCCGCCCCCCCCCCCACTACACACACACACACACACACACACACACACACACACACACACACACACACACACACACACGAGGAGACCAGAAGTCAACCCTGTATGCCATGCCTCTGAAGAAATCCACCAATTTTCTTTTTTGAGACAGGGTCTGTTAATTGCCTAGGGCTTGCCAATTAGGCTAGGCAGACCCAAGAATTCACCTGTCTCTGCCTCCCCAGCATTGAGATCCCAGTACACCACCATACCCAGTTCTTTTTACATTGGTCCTGGAGGTAGAAGTCAGGTCCTCAGCTGGGTGGTGGTGGCACAGGCCTCTAATCCCAGCACTCAGGAAGCAGAGGCAGGCAAATCTCTAAGTTTGAGGCCAGCCTGGTCTACAGTGTCCCAGGACAGCCAGGGCTACACAGAGGAAACCCTATTTCAAAAAAACAAAAAACAACAACAACAAAAGATCAGGTCCTTATGCTTGAGAGGCAAGCACCTTGGTAACCAAGTTACCTCTACAGTCCCTTATTTGTGTTTAATTCTTGAATTTCTCAGTAATGATGTAGGATATGTGCATATGTACTATATATGCACATGTACACTTTGTGTATACCAGGGTTGCTAAAGCAGAAGAATCCGGAGCTCCAGACCAGCCTGGGATACACAATGAGACTCTGTGTATCAAAAACATCAAGCAAAACAGGGAGTGACTCTGCGGAGTTAGGTCAGATAACACTGAAACATCATTGTCACTAACCCTGAGGCTGCCCATCTTCCTAGGCACCTACTATGTATGTGTGTGGTGCTAGCTGAGGCCAGGTTTCATGTGGGCTGGAAAAGTACTCCACCACTGAGTTAGATCCCCAACCTCCCTTTCTAAAACGCAGAACTGGAGTTTGTTAGAAGACTTTTTTCTTTTCTTTTCTTTTTAAGACAGGGTTTCTACGTAGCCCTGGCTGGCCTGGAACTCACAGAAATCCACCTGCCTCTGCCTCCCAAACGCTAGCATTGAAAGTACATGCCACCATGCCCAGTTAGAAGGTATTTCTAAGTACAAGGGTTAAGAGAAAGAGAGACTCGGGAAGAAGGTAAGGCACCCTTGAGAGCACACCAGTTAGAAGGTATTTCTAAGTACAAGGGTTAAGAGAAAGAGAGACTCGGCACCCTTGAGAGCACAGGTGTGGGCCTCTCAAACAAGAGCCATCTCCAACTTTTTAATTTTATTTTTGAGACTGAGTCTTGCTCAATTACCAGGCAGGCCTTGAAGTTTGAATTTAACCATCCTCCTGCCTCAGCCTCCCCACTAAGATCACAGGCCCTGGCTCCTCTCCTACTTCTTAATTGATCTTTCCTACTCTAATTCCTTAGAAATTGTCAAACATAAAATGACAGTTCCAATACCCAGTGTGATGGTTCATGCCCATAATCTCAGTAATGGTGGAAGGAGTGGAGCAGAATCATGTTCAAGGCAGGCTAGGCTATATGGCAAGACTCTCATCCCTCTTCCCAATGTGGCTACATGGATTAAATCTCCTTTTTCTGCTTCCTACTTTTAATTGGCTTATTGAGGATGGTGACCACACCTGTCTAGGGACACAGTGTATGACCTACAAGTTCAATAACATACTTAATGCATATAGCTGAGCATAATACCTCCACGCAACCACTTCGGCTGAACTGGAAGCCAAGATCTTCACCTGACCCTGAGGGTGCCCACTAATAAGCACAGGAGTAGAGAGGGAAACGTAGGGCCTGGCTGGAAGCCTTCTTCTTCTCATCTGTAATGTGCTGCAGAGCCTGACATCATGGCTAACCAGTTCCTAACGCTCGAGGGAAAGTCCGGTTTCAATGCTGCTCTGACAGCATGCCTGAAACCTTCACACTGAGCTGACAAGACAAAAACAACATGGAACCAGAAGGCTTTTTCCAGAAATATACTGGGGACTAGTCTGAAGCATCCAATGAAGAAATCATGTTCCAGGAGCCTGGTTTGGGTCCTCTTGTACAAGAGGAAAAAATGAAGACTAATAATAATAAATAAATAAAGATAAGTACAACAGCAACATCTATAGAACATCCTGCAAGAATCCTCGCAGGTCTGCACAATGATCCAGAGCTCACAGACCCTGTTCAGCTAGCACACCAATGTTTGGCTTCAGGGAAGGTGGTGCTGTTCAGCAGCTAAATTAAAACGTGGGACAGCCATATGTCAGCAAAAGAGACAGGCTCCCAGATGACAGTATAACAGAAAGGGGCCTGGGCCTCTGGTAGGGAAGCTGAGATGCAGGGAACTGGTCCTTCAAGCAGTCAGTTGAAAAACTTTCTCCCAGTCTTTGCATTTTTCCCAAAAGCAACTGAAAGGTCTGGAGAAACAGTTATGAGCTGGTCGAGAGGTTAAGAGCTGTTGCTACTCTTACAGAGGACTAGAGTTCAATTCCCAGCACCCAGCACCTTAGAGTTACAACTATAACTCTAAGGGATCCAATGCTGCTTCAAACCTCCAGATGTATACTCAAACATGTGCATAGATACATACATACTCACAAATAAAAATATTTTTTTAAAAAAAGCAGCCATCTCCCATAAGTTGCTTTTGTCAGAGTATTTTATCACAGCAAGTAGAAAAGAAAGTAAGAGAGCTTGTCTCTGCCACCCAGTGCTGGGTTTCTCATGTTTGAAAAGCACATGTTCTTACCCACTAAACCATCTCCCCAGCCCCTGAGAGACAGAGTGAGTGAGAGTGAAAGTGTGTGTGTGTGTGTGTGTGTGTGTGTGTGTGTGTGTGTCTGTGGTGGTGGTGGTGGTGGTGGTGGTGGTGATGGTGGTGGTGGTCTGAGGACACCTTGTGAAAGTCAGTTCTTTCCTTCTACCATGTGAGTTGCATGGATCAAACTCAGGTCTTCAGGCAAGTGCCGTTACCCAGTGAGCCATACCCCCAGCCTTTTAATATCTTTTGAAACAAGATCTTACTCTATAACCCAGGCTGGCCTGGAACTTAAGAAGTAGTTAAAGTAGGCCTTGGACTCATGGTGATCCTCCTGACTCAGGCCCTTGAAATTACACAACTTGGTCCCAGTCTCATGAAACAAACAGGCATTTAGATTTCTGCTCTTCTGAGGCTGAAGACTCATGAGATAGAGGATGATAAATGCTCGGCCTGTCTGCAGTAAATGCTCACCTCTCTGCAGTAAGGCAGGCTGCCACTACATACCAGCTGGTCTGGAGCTCAGAATCTGAAATAAGACAGCACATCTGTCCTCCAGACCCAGCCTGTGGATGCGCTGAATGCCATTGCCTCCCTCTGCAGCAGTCAGTCTCTGACCTCCTGGCCTTCCAGCTGTCACCTGGGTGTTTTAAGACATAGGCTGTCTTCAACAGTGAAAAGTTCCAACACTTTTACACAAAGTGAAGCTAAATAAAGACGTTTCACCTGAGGCACAGAGCATTTCTTCAGTTGGTTAAGCTTCTTCTGCCCATACCCAACAAAGGGAAAAATAAAAATAAAAAAAAAAACGAAATGCTACCCTAAAAGATTCCAGTCTACAATCACATCAGGGAGCAGTTGGCACACTGAAAACCTTTAAAAATAAATAAATAAATAAATAAATAAAATTTAAAAAAAAAAAAAAAAGCCTCTACAGAGAGACCAGAAGTTGCTTTTTTTGCCAGCTGTGTTTGAGACACAAGCACCTAGGAGCTGACTAAGAGTGAAACTCCAAAGCTGTGTTCTCACAGCAGGGCCTGCAGCACACAGCCCAGCTCTGGGGAAGATCAAAACCTCCCCACTCAGCATCACCTCTCAACCTGCTCCCTTTCCTCTCTGGGCTTCTGGCAGATGAGCAAAAAGGGACCTCAAGAACCATGTGCCTTCATCTAAGCAGGCCCCCTGCAGAACCCGGTCACCTAGCAGCTTCAGCACGCTCTACAATAGGTGGTGAGAGAATTAATAAGACCCCCTTTCTAACATGTTAATTATTAGAGGCCGGTTTCCTGAGAAAGCCATGCTTCTCTTTGAGATTCTACTGGCTGACTGAATGACTACTTCCATGACTATAGGGTTTGATTGTGACCTACCAAGAGCCAAAATTATCCTGAACTGTCTTTGGCACCTTAACAGCCACTCCTTGCCCACATGTGGGATAACAATCTTGTAACTATCATGTTCAAACCCTTGTGATATATTAACTTAGCAGATCCCTACCTTTCACTACCCAAAGGCTATGAGTGTCATCAGATAGCAACTGAGACCCATAGTAGACATGTCCCTGCTTTGCTGTAACCCATCTGACTGATATCCTTATCAATGTATTTCACGAGTGTACTTGTTTGTGACTGTCTTTGGTTCTGTGTCTATAAAATCCATGTAACCACATCCACAGTGGAAAATGTCCCTCTGGACAAGCTGAATCAATGTTCCTGGAGAAAATCATTTATATTTGGTTCAGAATAAACTGCCTCCTTCCCTTTTGAGTGAGAGCTGTGTTTTGCAATGACGCTATTTGTCCACCTTTAGAAGAAAATGTGGCTTACTCTTTGTGGAGGTTTCCTTCCTAAAAATTTCACAGACCACAAAGTACCTAGCCGCTTTGGCTTTGGCCTCAAGTGAGGGCATTCTTCATCTGCCCAACTGCTGCACTGTGACCAGTAATGCACTAAGGGTCAAAAGTTCATTTGTGGGTCTCTTTATCCCGGGAAGTCTTCCACTCTTTGCTGGAGCCAAAGATCAAGAAGCCAAGCTTAACTCACAAGGAAAATTTCAATGAAACCAGAAATAGCCCTGGCCCCTGTATTAGCAGTTAGAACTGACTCCAGGGACCAGTGTCAACCATTACACAGATATCCAAGTTCATTCTGCCCAGAAAGTTCAGCAAGAGTTTAGAAATCAGCGATCTGCTGGGCATCAGTGGCACACGCCTTTAATCCCAGCACTTGGGAGGCAGAGGCAGGCAGATCTCTGTGAGTTTGAGGCCAACCTGGTCTCCAGAGCGAGTGCCAGGATAGGCTCCAAAGCTACACAGAGACACTCTGTCTCGAAAACCAAAAAAAAGAAAGTAAGAAAGAAAGAAAGAAAGGAAGGAAGGAAGGAAGGAAGGAAGAAAGAAAGAAAGAAAGAAAGAAAGAAAGAAAGAAAAAGAAATCAATGATCAGGGCTGGAGAGATGGCTCAGAGGTTAAGAGTATTGCCTCTTCTAGAGGTTCCGAGTTCAATTCCCAGCAACCACATGGTGGCTCACAGCCATCTATAATGAGATCCTGTGCCCTCTTCTGGCCTGCAGAGAGATATGCAAGTAGAATACTGTATACATAATAAATAAATAAATCTTAAAAGAAAGAAAGGAAAGGAAAGAAGAGAAGAGAAAAGAGAAGAGAAGAAATTAGCGATCAGTGTATGTGAGCCCTCCCTGTACCAGTAAGACTGATGAGCCAGGCAGGAAACACATCTCCGAGACTTCAGAACATACAGACTCCTCCAACCTAGAAACCTTCCTCAGACAGCAGTGCATGCTACTTCTCCTCTTGGAGACTGCAGTGGGTGCAGGCTGCAGAGAAGCAAGCTCACCTGGGCGGTGTCTGTTGGCTGCTTCTGAGGGAAGTGAGCCGCCTTGGAGCCTCCGAGTCCCAGTCTTGCCACCGGTTCCTCCGGGATAGTGGGAAATGACAGAAGCTGAACACAGCCCTTCCAGGGCAGCTGGGTGACAAAGAGAAGCAAAAGATATTAGTAAAGTCACTCTACAGGGGATAAGAATGACTTAAACGTGCCAATTTCCCAAAATCAAAGTTTACAATTAGGGCTGGAGAGATGGCTCAGAGGTTAAGCGCACCGGCTACTCTTCCAGAGGTCCTGAGTTAAATTCCCAGCAACCACATGGTGGCTCACAACCATCCGTTATGAGACCTGGTGCCCTCTTCTGGTGTGCAGATATACATGGAAGCAGAATATTGTATACATAATAAATAAATAAAATCTTTAAAAAAAAAGTTTACAATTAAAGATCATTAGCTGGGCATGCCTTTGTCCAGGCACTTGGGAAGCCAAGGAGAAAAGGGGGGTCTCTGTGAGTTCAAAGCTGGCCTGGTCTACTTACAGGCCAGAGAGAGCCTGACTCAGAGAAAAGAGGGGGAGAAAGGAAGAAAATCACTAGTTTTGCAGTACACAGAGATGTGCCACCTGCCTTTTGCAGGCCATGGCCGAGAGGGAAATACAAGAAGCTAGCAAGCTCAGGGTGTGATTGATGGCCTGTGTACTCAGGGAAAACTTTATTTTCTCATTTATTCACAGGACCCTCATTTTAAGGGTTCTTTTTATTTGGTTGGTTACATTAATTTACTTAATGGGGTGGGAGTGAGGGCTTGTGCCACAGTGCCTGGCCAAGTCAGAGGACAACTTAGGAGATTTAGTTTTCCCCTTCCAATATATAGGTGCAGGGGATCGAACTCGGGTCATCAGGCTTGGCAGAAGGCCCTTTTACCCACTGAGCCATCTCATCAGTCCTCAGGGACCAGCAGTTTTACACAGGTTATAGAGCTGTGGAGCGGGAAGTATGCTGGGTTGGAGACATTCAACAGTAGGCCTCGGGGTGTGCACAATAGTGACAGTGTGCTTAGGTAGCAAGTACAAGGCCCCATCCTAGGCACAGGAGGGAGGGAGGGAGGGAGGGGGAGAGACGGGTAGGGAGTAAGGGAGGGGAAAGGAAGGGGAGGGAAGAGGAAAAGGAAGGAAGGAAGGAAGGAAGGAAGGAAGGAAGGAAGGAAGGAAGGAAGGAAGGAAGGAATTTAAAGGTAATACCTCCAAGGTAGGACCAAAATACCTTCCCCCATATTCTACATGTATCTACATCATCTGGGACAGCAGCAGACCAATCTTCCTCCTTCCTTCTCACTCTGTCTGTCTGTCTGTCTCTGTCTCTGTCTCTGTCTCTGTCTCTCTCTGTCTCTCTCTCTGTCTCTCTCTCTGTCTCTCTCT